GATGATTTACGATCGAACATGTTAAAATACACAAAATATAACAGTTTTGAAAAACTTACTTGAAGTCACAAATTCGATGATTTTACGATCAAACATGTTAAAAAATACAAAATATAACAGTTTGGAGAAACTTACTTGAAGTCACAAATTCGATGATTTTACGATCGAACATGTTAAAATACACAAAATATAACAGTTTTGAGAAACTTACTTGAAGTCACAAATGCGATGATTTTACGATCGAACATGTTAAAATACACAAAATATAACAGCTTTGAGAGACTTACTTGAAGTCACAAATTCGATGATCTTACGATCGAACATGTTAAAATACACAAAATATAACAGTTTTGAGAAACTTACTTGAAGTCACAAATTCGATGATTTTACGATTGAACATGTTAAAATACACAAAATATAACAGTTTTGAGAAACTTACTTGAAGTCACAAATTCGATGATTTTGCGATCGAACATGTTAAAATACACAAAATATAACAGTTTTGAAAAACTTACTTGAAGTCACAAATTCGATGATCTTACGATCGAACATGTTAAAATACACAAAATATAACAGTTTTGAGAAACTTACTTGAAGTCACAAATTCGATGATTTTACGAACGAACATGTTAAAATACACAAAATATAACAGTTCTGAAAAACTTACTTGAAGTCACAAATTCGATGGTTTTACGATCGAACATGATAAAATACACAAAATATAACAGTTTTGAAAAACTTACTTGAAGTGACAAATTCGATGGTTTTACGATCGTTTATGTTAAAATATACAAAATATAACAGTTTTGAGAAACTTACTTGAAGTCACAAATTCGATGATTTTACGATCGAACATGTTCAAGTACACAAAATATAACAGTTTTGAGAAACTTACTTGAAGTCTCAAATTCGATGAATTTACGAGCGAACATGTTAAAATACACAAAATATAACAGTTTTGAGAAACTTACTTGAAGTCACAAATTCGATGATTTTACGATCGAACATGTTAAAATACACAAAATATAACAGTTTTGAGAAACTTACTTGAAGTCACAAATTCGATGATTTTACGATCGAACATGTTAAAATACACAAAATATAACAGTTTTGAAAAACTTACTTGAAGTCACAAATTCGATGATTTTACGATCGAACATGTTAAAATACACAAAATATAACAGTTTTGAAAAACTTACTTGAAGTCACAAATTCGATGATTTTACGATCGAACATGTCAAAATACGCAAAATATAACAGTTTTGAGAAACTTACTTGAAGTCACAAATTCGATGATTTTACGATCGAACATGTTAAAATACACAAAATATAACAGTTTTGAAAAACTTACTTGAAGTCACAAATTCGATGGTTTTACGATCGTTCATGTTAAAATATACAAAATATAACAGTTTTGAAAAACTTACTTGAAGTCACAAATTCGATGATTTTACGATCAAACATGTTAAAAAATACAAAATATAACAGTTTTGAGAAACTTACTTGAAGTCACAAAATCGATGATTTTACGATCGAACATGTTAAAATACACAAAATATAACAGTTTTGAGAAACTTACTTGAAGTCACAAATTCGATGATTTTACGATCGAACATGTTAAAACACACAAAATATAACAGTTTTGAGAAACTTACTTAAAGTCACAAATTCGATGGTTTTGCGAGCGTACATGTTAAAATGTGCAAAATATAAGAGTTTTGAGAAATTTTCTTAAAGTCACAAATTCGATGGTTTTACGATCGCACATGTTAAAATATGCAAAATATTAGAGTTTTGAGAAACTTATTGAAAATCACAAATTCGATGGTTTTACGATCGTACATGTTAAAATGTGTAAAATATAAAAGTTTTTAGAAACTTACTGAGAATCACAAATTCGATGGTTTTACGATCGCACATGTTAAAATATGCAAAATATTAGAGTTTTGAGAAACTTATTGAAAATCACAAATTCGATGGTTTCACGATCGTACATGTTAAAATATGCAAAATATTAGAGTTTTGAGAAACTTATTGAAAATCACAAATTCGATGGTTTCACGATCGTAAATGTTAAAATGTGTAAAATATAAGAGTTATAGAAACTTACTGAAAATCACAAATTCGATGATTTTACGATCGCATATGTTAAAATATGCAAAATATTAGAGTTTTGAGAAACTTATTGAAAATCACAAATTCGATGGTTTTACGATCGCACATGTTAAAATATGCAAAATATTAGAGTTTTGAGAAACTCATTGAAAATCACAAATTCGATGGTTTTACGATCGTATATGTTAAAATGTGTAAAATATAAGTTTTTAGAAACTTACTGAAAATCACAAATTCGATAGTTTTACGATCGCACATGTTAAAATATGCAAAATATTAGAGTTTTGAAAAACTTATTGAAAATCACAAATTCGATGGTTTTACGATCGTACATGTTAAAATATGCAAAATATAAGAGTTTTGAGAAACTTGAAGTCACAAATTCGATTATTTTACGATCGAACATGTTAAAATACACAAAATATAACAGTTTTGAAAAACTTACTTGAAGTCACAAATTCGATGATTTTACGATCGAACATGTTAAAATACACAAAATATAACAGTTTTGAAAAACTTGAAATCTTACATATATTAATTTTATCTATAATACTAATTTCAAGTATTACATTTTTATTTTTAAATCACCCATTATCTATTGGATTAATATTATTAATTCAAACTATTTTAATTTCAATAATTTCAGGATTAATCTCACAAACATTTTGATTTTCCTATATTTTATTTTTAATTTTTTTAGGAGGAATATTAGTTTTATTTACTTATGTAACAGCAATCGCCTCAAATGAAATATTTTCATTTTCAATTAAAATTAAAATTAAAATTCACAAATTCGATGATTTTACGATCGAACATGTTAAAATACACAAAATATAACAGTTTTGAGAAACTTACTTGAAGTATCAAATTCGATGAATTTACGATCGAACATGTTAAAATAAACAAAATATAACAGTTTTGAAAAACTTACTTGAAGTCACAAATTCGATGATCTTACGATCGAACATGTCAAAATACGCAAAATATAACAGTTTTGAGAAACTTACTTGAAGTCACAAATTCGATGATTTTACGATCGAACATGTTAAAATCCACAAAATATAACAGTTTTGAAAAACTTACTTGAAGTCACAAATTCGATGGTTTTACGATCGTTCATGTTAAAATACACAAAATATAACAGTTTTGAAAAACTTACTTGAAGTCACAAAAAATTCGTATTGATTTTACGATCAAACATGTTAAAAAATACAAATATAACAGTTTGTGAGAAACTTACTTGAAGTCAAAATTCGATGATTTTACGATCGAACATGTTAAAATACACAAAATATAACAGTTTTGAGAAACTTACTTGAAGTCACAAATTCGATGATTTTACGATCGAACATGTTAAA